TAAAAGTGAGAGAATTAAGTAATGGAACAGAATTTACTGGAATTTAAGAAAATCCAAACCAGGCAGAGTTCAACATATGCATGTCACCTATAAATTGCCCTGTGTCTGGAATAGATTGTGCATTCTCTCCCTGGATTGAATGGACAAAGGCGATTCTTCTGCATATTGAGGAGTTTGGAGACATGATGGAGCTGTTTGCACAGGTGTATCGTATGCCACAAGCTTAAGGGGCTTTGTTGTTGTTGACAGACAAGTATGACCAGAAGGCCCTTGGCCCCTTCATACAGTCCCGAAGAGCCATGCCCAACAAAAAGTTGGTGTCAACCATAGCTTTCAGATACTGATACAATTGGGACAGATGCCTCTTTATTTTCGAGTCAATGCCTACAAGGTCTGCTCGCATACAGAGCCATATTACCCACCACCTTGTCCCACTGTTCAAAATGGTGAGGGCAGTGCTCAAGTGTCAAGATGAGTCTGGCAGTAGCACAATATTAAGAGCTCTGGGACACTGCGTGAGAGGAGCTATATAAATGCAAGTTATTGTTGTTGATCCTCTGATCAGTTTCCTTGGGATTGATTATAACCATTGTACAATGTATTTGAGTTGTCGCAACAATGTGATAAGGCGCTCTATCAAATGCAAGGAATATTATTATTGGGGTATGCACCCTGACATTTACTAAACCAAAAGATCTAAAATACTCAAATTGGCTCCATTGGTGCTTCAGCAGCAAGTGGATGCCACGCAGCCTGATGCCCCAGATGTAAGCCATTTTGGCTGGAACCTGGGAGTGTTTTGTCTTTCTTTGCACATGTGCAATGAATTAGGATACATTGACCAGTTAGGATTTTTATGGACTCCAATTACTGAATCCTGTAATTTGGGCTGTGTATTTTTCCGTACTATAAGTTGGGAAATTACCTGATATTTCCATTGTTTTCACAACCTCAAAGTTTTGGGTTCACCTTAATGTGCATATCGATTCACTGTATTTAGTATTCAATTTCCTTTTTTTTTCCACACATGTTGAACCAATATGTCTGCTGTAACTTCTTTAGCTCCTCTTAAAACTGAACTAAGAAAGCTTTAGAAGTCTCAGGTTGAATTTTTTAAATGCTCTGCAGCCTCCAGTCAAATTCCGATTTATCTCACATGTCGAGATGGTTCAGTCTACATTGATTTTTTTTAAATGGAAAATAACTTCAGAGCTATTCCTCTTGAAAACGACTCCAAACTTGGAAGCTGTAACAGTAATAGAACTGAACTGGTAATGCAATAAGGTTCTTGGAGATGCTTGTTGTGTGACTATTGCAAGTTTCAGTTGAGGACGTTAATGGAAACCAGTGTGACCTTTTTGAGAATATCTAACCCAATTTTTCTTTTAAGTTGGAGCAGACTTGCAGAGCTCACTGGCAGCCTGTCAAGGCAGCTCGAAACTCAGAAGGGAATCACGAAATGTTTCAAAATTTTGTAGTATCAATGAAGGGAGGAGGGAAGAGCAGAGAGGAAAAGCATTTACAGTAAACTGATAACTCGATCCTGGCATCATGTTGTCAATATCCCTGCCGCATTTATTATTTATACATATGTCTAACTCGACACTCCGGATAACTTGTCACTGAGATCTTTTCCCCTTGGAGTGACAAGTTATCAGGAGTTTACTGTGTTTGAATTGCTATGTATTTTAATGCAGCATGTGCAGTGCACCGTTGTAAATGAATAAATTGAAATAATCAACTTGTGTACAAACTTGCTGCTTACTGTTTAGACAAAAAGTGTTAGTTAACCAAGTTATTCTCAGAAAATACCATATTATAAATACGGTTGTCAGAAAGACATTTTTTTTGGTGCAAAAAGTTGGAGCCACAGCTTGTTTAAAGTTCTGGTGCGGTCAGGTCAAGTTCAATTTGCTACAGTGAGTTGTGCTCCCAACGGGCCATCCATTTGTCCATCAACCCATCCCACGCTCTCATTAGACCATCTTACCGACACATGGATGTCGGAAGGAAAGCCCTTAAACCAATCAATATTAGTTAAACAAAAGGCAAAATACTGCAGATGCTGGAATTCTAAAATAAAGAAAGAAGTCACTGGGACACTCAGCAGGTCAGGCAGCATCTATGGAGAGAGGAAAGTGAGTTAACGTTTCAGGTTGATGACCTGAATTTATTGATGGCTCAGCGGTTTGAGCACTCACCTCGCAAGCGAAAGGGCCTGGGTTTGATTTCCGGGCAGGGCGAAACCTTAGGCAAGTTTTCTTACTTCACACTCCTCTATTTACCTGGCAGTAAGTAGGAGCCCGGTTGTTAGTCGATTGGCGATCGCTTTTCCGGGGGTAATATTCCCTTCAAAAAAAAATTTAAAATTTGGTCACCCAATGCATGACTGTGTGGGACACTGCTTTGTGCAATTGGCTGCCACGTTTGGCCCACAAAATACACAGTCAATTCACTTTACAGTATATCTTGTGAAGTACTTTGAGATGCCTCGAAGACATGATAAGGCACTATATATCAAATGCAAGGATTATTATTATTATTATTATTTACTTCCTCGAGAATCATCGGATATGGATCTTTGTTCCTTTGACGTGAGTAAGTGTTTGACTGGAAGTTTTGTATCTCTGAATGATTAACTCTTTGGGACAGTCTCTGAACTGTCGGCTTGCAGAAAACTAACAGCAACTGCTTATTATGGTGATACTGAAGTCTGTGTTGTGTTTCTGCCTTTAAGCACATGCCATAATTATTTCACAAGATAAGCATTGACTATAAACACTGTGTTGACCAAGGAAGGCCAATATTCTGACATAAGATGTTAGCAGAGTTTCAAATGTTTTTAGTGCTCTGCAGTTTGGTTGTCCAGATTGAAAATGGTTCCTAACAGGTTGTTTGGTAGTCTACCTGAGTGAAATTTATTCATACAAATCTGGAACGCTCCAAGTCTACAAGTTCGATCCCCTGATCTTTGCAGTAAAAGTGCTAAAAATAGATTCAGTGTCCTTAGGTTAAAGAGAGAAAACCAGACTGAGCTTCCAATTGCTGTGCAGCAGCCTCTTCTGAAAAATGCATGTCTGTGGAAGCTGAATGCATCTCCAAACGTTGGAGAAGAAATCATTTCATCTCTTAGCTTTTAAGAGTCTTATACAAAATTAGTTTGGAAACTTTTCCACCCAGTTGCTAATGGATAAAATTGTGTGTGTTTGCAGCTCTAAATCTGACTCCCAAGGCCAGAGAATTGCTGCAACAACAATTTTACATTTACATAGTGCATTTCACATCAGGAGGACATCTTAAAGTATGTAATCTAGTCTGTAAATATTTTCCTGTAGCAGTAGGAGACCTTTTCGGAGATTAGGACTGAGCTACATTGGTACAGCAAAGTAAATTGAACTTTGCTCTGTATCTAATTTGTGCTGTACTTGGCCTGGGGTGCTTGACCGTGATATGGAAATTGGAAAAGTGAACCATTTCTTAGTATTACCATCACTCCTATTCAAAGAAAAGTGTCTGTGGAGAAACCAACACATAATCTGCTTGTGTTGTCAAGACATCAAAGTCTCACAAACTCACACCTCCACATTTTACATTCTGACTTTTCAGCACTCGTCCTTAATGGGATTCATTTGCTCAGGTCTGAAGAGTTGTTCATTTGCTAGCCGGAATCCTTTTACCATAAATGTTGAGGTTATTCCGAGAGACGTGGTTGTTTGAATTGCAGTGCAATGTTGTTGAATTCACGATAACCAAATAATAGTAATTGTATTAATAATAAATAATAATAACCAAAGATTCTTAGATCACATTTTTTGAAAACATACGTGAAAACCTACTTACGTGTGATATAATCAGGATTCACAACGACATTAGGTTTTGGCAAGAGAATCGGCCATATAGCGTATGGCCTCGATTAAAGCCCTTCTGGATAACAGATGGAGGTCCTGCTCTCTCTCTGAAGGACATCTCTGGCTTTGTAATAAAGCCATGTGGGAAAACTGAAAAATTGTATTCTCAGAATATTTTCTATGTAGAAACCATGACCCAGTTGAATGATATTCCATTCTTTTGCAAGCTTTTAAGGCATTTTTGAGGCTTATGCAATTAGGTATTTAGTTCTGTCCTTGCATTTGTTGCAGCATCGTATCGAGTCATTGTCTCAAAGTACTTTGCACAGGTTACTCTGAAGTATGATGTTGCGTGTTTGTAGGCAGATGTGGTAGCCAATTTGCGCACAGCAGGGGCCCATAAACAACCATGAAGGGAATCATATATTTTTTATTTGGTGGATTGTTGTCTAGGACACAGGGAGAAACTCGCTTCTTTTTTCAAATAGTGTCACAGGATCTTTAAAGTTTACCTGAATTGTTTGTCTTATCCAAGGCACTTCTGACAAAGTACGTTCCGCCCTCACCCCCACCCCCTGTAAAAGTGTGGAGTGTCCAATATCTGGATTTTGGTGCTGAACTGAAATTACATTTTTCCACTGCCCTCCCAGTAGACTGTTCTTCACATTTTATTTTATTAGAAGGTCTCTTTCTGTAAAATGAGTTTGCGAAGCCAAACGAATAGCTAATTACTAATGTTGCCTCCTCACTATTTTTTTCTCATATGATCAGTTCCAGCAAAAATTGAATAGAGGATTTCCACCAGCTTCGTACAAATAGTCCGATTCAGATCTACTGCTGAATACCTTGCCAAACTCGTGTGTTAAGCAGATCATTTTGATTCCTGCCTTCTTGAGTTAAGAACACTCTCACTCCCTGCCATAACACAGAAGTTAGGGAGGGGGCATCTATCTTGGCCCAAACATATCTCTATGGGTAGGAAAACACAGCTGTAACTCTGTGTTGCAGTCGATCTCTTTAACATTGGCGTACACTCAATGTTAATTATAAATTGTTTCTTGCCTGATGGTGTCCAGTGCAATTTTCTAGGTTTCTTTCCTGTAAGACGAGAGATTATGTGTCTGGCTGTTGATATAGAATTCTTTGCTGCAGTGAAACCCAACACTTAAGCCTGAAGCTGCAGATTGGAAGACATGCGAAGGTACAATCGGGTACCCAGAGCTGAGCCTGAACAGCTCTATAGATTTAACATTGGGTCGGAGCCAAGACCCTTGCTGTCCTGTGGTAAGCTGAAGCACACTATTTTTGTACTTTTTTTAATATATAAATCTTATTGTGACATAGAAGATCGAATGTCAAGTTAGTTCCTCTTTGTGATATGGAATGTAGGCTAATGGTGGTGGTATTTGCTGTGATGTATACAAAGGATGAACATATAACATATGCACATCGCTTCAAAGATATAGATATTGCAATAACAATAACTTTGAGTTGAAAATAAGCCTCAAACATAGCTTAACTCGGCATATGTGTCCAGAAAAGCAAAGAAACAATCATTTTACAATATTACTATCTCTCCAAACACTGTGGTTGTTTAAATTGATGACCTTGCTGAAAATGTGCAGCAACAGCTGAGTAGAAACACCCAGCAGTTTGTTGCCTATTGAATTGCTGTCGATGAAAGTACAGACTTGAAAGTCTCCTATATTTATTTGAGGGTGTGACAGAATTTCAGTATCATAAAAGAGTTGTTTGAACTTGCCTCACTGATGGGCTGATGGGCTGAACAACAGGAGCAGATGTCTTATTGAAATTGGTTGAGTGCATGGATAGAGCTGATTTTTCTTGCTCCAGATGGAGCATCAAGAAAGAACTAACTAGGAGTAGTTGCCAGAGTGAAAGCTAAGTGACAAACTGAATTCACAATTGCAGTTCACACCTTCCCGCAACATTATTCACCTACAAAATCTCTGTGGAAAAATAATGGATTGAATCTCTAATGGATGTCATAGTAAACTTCATCCATGCTCAGGGATTGATTCATTGCCAGTTTACCAGCTTTCTGGAAGAACTGGTCAGTCAATATGGAGACCCACTGTACCATTGTGAAGTTAGTTGGTTGAATCTAGTGCAGTTTTGCAAAGTTTGTATTTATTGAGGGCAGAGATGCGCAATTTATGCATTCTATACATTGTGATAAAGAACAACAAACTTACATAGGTATAGCACCTTTCACATTGGCATGACATTCCAACACGTTGAAGTATCTTAATTATCAGATTGGTTATACCGTCTGGCATTTCTGGTGGATATGACCAAGTACTTGAATCTTCTGAACATGTCTTAAAGGGCAGGATCAATTTGGCACACTGCATGGCTGTGTGGTGCATTTGACTTCAACTGCGGGAGAGACAAATGCAAGGAAACAACTTTGTCTGCTTTCAACACTCCCGAATTTCAACAAAAAACATCCTGATTCTCTTCCACATGATACATAACATTTTGCAAAAAATCTGTCACTTTTTCAGTGAGTTCTCACAGAACTTCATTCGCTTTATAGTCGAGGTGGACAACGGACCTTCTCGCTTCCAAATAGAGTTGATAGAACTGCAGTTTAATACTGAACTAAGAAACAAATTCCCTATGATTGCTTTGCGAATGCTTTTCTGTATATCTCCCAGTTGCATCTTTTCCAAATCTGCACTGCAGTGTGGTAAGAGTGCCATACTTATTTGGATTACATACTGTGTTCGACAACAGCAACTTGCATTTTATATAGGGCTCTTCACATTGGGGTAACATCTCAAAGCGCTTAATAGTGATGGACCTTGACACTGAGCTGGGAAGACAGAGAGAAGTTATTGTAGGCATGGTCAAAACAAGTTCGTCGGGCACGATCTGAAGAATGGCAAAGAGGGGCAAGGTGGCAGGATTGACAGAGAGAGCTCAATAGTGTGGCTGAAAGCACGGCCGCTGATGATGCACCGGAGGGGACGAGTGACATGCAGGAGGCCGGAACCAGTTGAAAGAAGAAGGCAGGTAAAGGAGTGTGGGTGTAATCACTTTGGAGAGGTTGGGAGATGCCAAAGCATATAAAATTCACAGTCTTCCTTCCAATCTACATTGATACAGATGCACCTGAACTCACTCCAAAAGGTGATCAGTGCATGCACATACACACCTGAGGAGAGAGTGATATCAACTGAACCAAATTGATACCTTTATTGAATTATTTTACACGGACAGTGTAATAAAATAAAAATTGTTCTAAAAATAGATTCTGAAATGTTGTTAATGACTATCTTGGTAATTATTGTTCTGTAACCATTGTTTTGTTTGTACCTTAACTACATTCAACGTTAGACTTCATTCAAGTTTTAAATAATGTTTATTGAATTGGAAGCCAGAACAAATTGAAGCTACCCTTGTGCAGTGCTGCACATAATTCAAGATTTGTTTAGCCAGTAGCTATTTTGTCCTTAATGTTCCAAAAGATCACATTTAAGTGTGATAGTTTTCAGAGGCAAGATCCAGGCCTTTGATTCTATTTTCTCAACGAATAGGGTTTTAAGTGATCCAGTGTAACTGATGCTGCTTCATTTCTTGCTAAATAATTGATTGCTCATTTCGGCACAACTGACCTAGTGTTGAATTCGAGACATGAGCTGTGTTGAAGAATAATGGAAACCATGGGTGATGGTAGAACTGTCCCTATTGCTTGCAAATCCAGTCACTATATGAGTTGCAGGTGTTATTTGTATCTCTGCCTCATGGAACTTTTAGGAAACTGACTGAATTTCTCATTTATTTTTTTGTTTCTGATCAGTGACATTCACTTTGTAATTGTTTGGCATGCTGCCTTAGGTACCTACTTTAATGACAAATACATTGCTTATCTGCCTTCAGTAGCTAGAGAATGTGTTGTGAGGTAGAGAATTCTACTAATGCACTCTTTCTGTGATTGCAGCTCAATGGTGCTGTATCTCTCGCCTTTCAGCCAAGATTTTAAACCGTGTTATGCAGGAATAACATTACTCCTGCACTGTATAAGTCCGTGTACTGTTCAGAATTAAGTAATGTGAATGCTTATTTAATAATTCACTGGTACTTTGGTAATATTTTAAGGTATGAGATTAGTTATGATAGATTAGGTTAACAATTTTTGGGGGACCAGCCGACAGTGTGACACATAATAATAATACAGAAAATTGGAAATAATGCAATATATCTGATAACTATTGTTATAGAGGTTTATCACAACCAGTATAATTTTTTTCCTGATTAATATGATGTATGGCTGCCGCAGTCTGCCTGTTTGAAAGAGTATCCCAGAATATTTGCAGCCCATTGAATCTGCTAGTGCTAGTCCCCTACTGATGCTATCTAATCTATTCCCATTCCTTTTTTTTAAGATTTTGTTTCTCCTAACTGACACTGAGAGACACAATACATGTATCAACATGGATTTGGATATTAACTCCAAATCCAGCATACACTAAGAATTCTGGAAAGAAAACAAATTTTTTTTTTGACATATTTCCCTCCAATTGAAAAGCTGATGTGTGCAAGAATTAGATGCTTTTGTTCAAAGTGCCATTCCCACTATAAATGGCTGCGTGTGAGATTAGTAACTTTTAGAGCAATTGAATCATCTAGTACAAATACAAAAATTCAAAGTTACATTTGTATAGCGCCTTTCACATCAGGAGGATGTCCCAAAGCGCTTTTATAATTAGTATAACTTCAAAACTAAAGGTTAATAACAGTTGGTCGGTAAGTAATTTCTAGCATACATTAGTCAATGGTTAAACTTTCTAAAGTTAGTATAGCAATATCAGTGAATAAACGTTATATTGTAAGTAGCTCATTATCTCTTCAAATGCATTATTTATACACTGCACTTTTTCAGATCCAGTCTGATGTAACTTATTTGTATTTACACAGGAGTATGTGGTTGCTGTGGTGCTTTGCGCCCTCGATACAAGCGCTTAGTAGATAACATATTCCCTGAAGATCCAAAGGTAAGTGTGTTTGTATATTAATAATGTAATATAATAGAACAGAACTTCAGTCCTTGTTTTGTTTTGCAAAATGTATATTTTTGGTCTTTTGCTTAATTGGACTTCGGAGCTAAATAGTCTAAACTTCAACTATGTAAAACACAACAACAACTTGCATTTATATAGCGCCCTTCCACAGAATAACGTCTCGGAATGCTGTACAATGGCTCCAGATTAGTTGAATTGGTTTTTGATCAACTAAGGTTATAAATTACTTGCAGGTAGGAGATTGATGAGCTCCACCTTGATATACTAAAAAAAATTGTTGGCATAGGAGACCATTCAATTAAGTTCATTTGTAACATTGTTTGCTTCTGAAGAGGAGGAAGACCATATTTCATGATTCAAGTGAAGTATGGGAAGAGGAAGATATTCAGAGAAGCATAGAACAAGCGAATAAAGATGCACCCAGGAAAGCTTGTGATGGAGAGAATGTTATTTTTAGCCACTAAAAGTCAGATAATTCAAAAGAACCAAGCCGAGCAACAGGAACATAATGAAACAAACACAAGCACTAACCTTTGATTGAAAATTGGAAGTGAAAGAGGTGAATCATACTGCCAAACTACTGGCAAATGTGACCAGAGAGGTCAGTGCACCACAAAAGCGATTTTAAAGAAACAAATGCCTGGATGACAATGGATTGAAAATAAAATAAGTCGAGAGTCGTGGAGGTACCCACAAGACTGGACAGCATTGAAGCTGTTCAGTGACATATTGATGGAGTTCACGTTATTGCCTGCAGGCGTATGGATTGTTTCAGGGCTTCACATTATTATGGATTTCTGTAACAACAAAACTGAAATCACTCTTCATATTGCTGATTCTGGGTGACAGCACCTGTGGAAATGAATTCCAGTGCTTGGCACGGTCATTCTGAACTGCCTTTTTGCTCCTCACCTTAGAGCTTATATGATGGCAACTTGGTAATGTTATGTATTTCAGGTTAAATAATTATTTACTAGACATAAAACCTTCACCCGGTCTTTGGAGGATTCCAGAGTAGGCTTAAATCACAAAGTTAACTATCATTGACGAAAGGCAGTTTGAAAATAGAATCAAATGCAAAAAGGAACATTTTGTGAAGAAGCGCTCGCTGGCTTGGAATGCGTCACAAACCACTAACATAATTGAGATGTTAGCCCTATTTGGAATATTCAATGAAGCAATTGTCATGTACTCCTCTAACACGTCTCAACGCCTCAACTCCACCATCTTTCTAGCAACAATGTCTTTTCATTTTCTGGGAACTTAAAAACTTTGAGAGTCCAAGTTGTGTTTGAGCAAATGTTGGAATTCACTTGCCAGTATGATACGGTTGCTTATTATGAAGCTGCCCTGTTTTTATTACTAAGTTCAGTTATTTGTGCACTGTCTGGTGGAAGGAGAATTAACACTGCATCTGCTATTACTTTTTGTTTCTTACTTCCTATATCTTACCAATGCCAGAGAATTGCTTACGCTTGCCTGCTTCCGCCTTGCTTTTGCCCCACCTTATCTCCATGACCTTCTCAAATCTTACAAACCCATCTGCTCCCTCTACTTGGTGGGCACTGGTATGCTTCATATCCCCCGGCCCCACCATCACTCAGCCTATCTCCCCCACTCTTTGGAACTCAATCCATCCCTATAACTCTCCTCTTCCCTGGCCTCCCTAGATCCATCTCAAGACCTTCCTTATTGACTGCGTCTTCGGTCATCTTTCTGCCTACCACCTTGTGCTGCCCAACCCCAGCTCAGGTGTAAACACACACTATCTGTGTATGTCTCTGTCTCTGTGCTCTCACATGCTTTGTACATCTGTTCATATCCTATATATTTAATTTCTGGTGACCATAATTTCTGCATCCTATAGACTATGTTGGAAGGATCTGTGAGACTGCCTGATATGTGTTTCATGGTGAGAGGTCTCAAACATTCAGCGCCAGAAGGTGTTGAGGTGCAACATGACTAGCTGCCTTCACTTGGCATTTTCGCACTAAACAGATCAATGATTTGATGCTTTAAATTTGTGCGTTACTGCATTCAGAAGGTTTGCAGCAATATACAGACTTTGACAAACTGTACTTAAAAATGTGTCTCCTGTTTACAATTGTGAAATTCAGCATTTTATTTTTAAATAAGTGTTTTATTCCTTGTAGATTAGGTTAAAAGGTAAACAGAGCAGCATGGTACTTGGCTTTATAAAAGTGTAAAGTACAGTACCATCTTGTCTGGTTCACTTTTTCCATATTCTATACCAGGAAGGAATTTTCATCCTGCAAAACAATAAGATCTCAGAAGACCAGAACTTTATTACAGCTACATTATCAATGATTGCAATTGTAGGTGCTAATGCATGAGTATGTTCATACAGTAAACTGCTGATAACTTGACCCTGGATTAACTTGTGACTACCACTAAAGTCATCATGCTGTCAATATCCCGGCCGCATTTACTTATGTATTTATACATACGCCTAACTTGCCACTCTGGATAGTTCATCACTGAGCCCTTTTCCTTTTGAGAGATGAGTTATGAGGATTTTATTGTATTAGAAAATCTTTTTATGAATACAATGTTTGGATATAACGAAGTGATAAAAATACCTCAAGAGGAAGATCAATCCAGTAAATCTATCTTGGATCTTTCTCTCTTTGCTGCGAAGCACTGGTTTGATATAATTTGAATCCTTGGGTAAGAACCCTAAGGCACAGTAGGTTAATGCATACTCAACTGTGGGAAGTAGATTGCAATTTGTCCCTCTCTGATATGAAAGGTTCTCTTTGCTGGCTGTAAGAGTTCCAAGTAAAATGACTTGAATAATTTTTAAACAATTTCCCAGTTGGCTCAGACCCACAGTGCAAAGTTTCCACAATCTGGTAACTTTGCTTTGGGGCTGTAAGAATAACTGATGGAAGAAATGGGAAAAAATCACATTAGTGCAATGAGTTGCGTTAGTATTCTTAGGTTTGGAATTTAAGTATATTGATGTGGGCGACTTGCAATTGAATGCCCAAAGTATTGGACTCATCAGCACAGAAATTGATACCCTTGGATTTAGATATACAGGGCAACCCCATTATAAAACACCATGGTTCAGCAATGGTTTATTTTGCAGCGCATGCATACTGTGAGTACATCCAAATTCTGACACTGACAGGCCAGTTTCTCATGCTAAAGAATGGTCACCTTCTGGATTATCAGGTTGTTGCTGATGTAACTTATTGCCAATAGCGCACAACACATAGGAAGTGATGTCAAAAATGATCCAGAAGGCAGTCATTTTCATGCTATGGTTTAATGTGGGGTCTGAGTGTATGAACCCAGATTATTATATCATAACTATTGTGCAAATCTTTTTGTTGTGTAAGGTACACATATCCTTTGGAAATGTTCACTGATAAGTTTGCTGTCTTGTTTTGGCCTATCAGGATGGTCTTGTTAAAGCTGATATGGAGAAGTTGACCTTCTACGCAGTTTCGGCTCCAGATAAACTGGATCGAATAGGGAAGTACCTTGCTGAGAGGCTGAGCAGGGATGTTGTCCGGCATAGATGTGGGTAAGTAACTTACTCTTTTTACTGTTCTGATTTTAAAATTCTGATCATTTGAAAGTTTGCCAAAAATAAGAGATGTTATTGGGAGAAAAAGTCAGCCACATTGATAGCCTATGAAGTATGTTTGAAGATGTTGAAATTTATATCCCTCGGAATTTTCTATATTCTTTAATTGAATCTCTTAATTTTTGCTCTATGCTTAATTTTTTCAGGTTTTAATGGCATGAGTTGCATTTTTCATAATTGATTAAAACTACTGTTTTTACTACAAAGCTGTCATGCAGTCACATGCACTATAACTGTAACTGCTTTCTTAACATTGTAAAGAATTCAGTATAAATCTTCACTTAAAAGATCACTTATTTAAGAGACTTGAACTTTAAACTATTTCATTTAGATTCTTGTTACAATTGAACATTCCCTAGATACCATGGGTCACCATCTAAAATTACCTTGCATTTAGGAGGGGGACGGAGCCCAGCTGAACCTGTCTCAGGCTTTTATAATGCATCTATACAATCTTTCCAATGTTCTTATTGTTGATATCTCCTTTACTTACTCTGCTGTTTAGAGCAAGCAAAATTACACGGCAGTGCCACTTTATCATTAGTCTGTGGGCATAATCATCCCATCAGAGGAAACTCATGTTAATTCTCAATGCTAGTTTGAAAACCGCCACACTCCTGAGTTTCCCAGGTCTTTTATTTAAAGAGAATCCCAACTCCAATCATGTAAGTACGACTCCTTTTAATGATTCTAACTGCTATGCACCAGCTCATAACCATGGGTTGGTTGACTCATTTTATGTGACCTCTCTACCTGGGCAGTCATATATTTGAGCTCTTAAAACTGACGTCAGAACCATTGCAGAGGGAGGAGCACTTGCCTAATGAGGAAATGAGACATGGAATGCCACTGCAGAACTGATACTGGCTGTGTTTAATCCTTGGTAAAAGATGAAATGCAGCAGTTAGATTGATAAGGGAACCTTAAGGAATACTAATTTTAATGACTACCGCTTTCACAACTCTCCCTTCACTACTCATTTTCAGTTCTTCTCTCCAACTGACCTTTTCTCTCTCCTTGACCCTTCCACTGCCTCTCTCTGCTGGGAATCCTCCACGGCACACATCGATGGTTGTCCCAGAACAGCCACCGTGAACAGCCTTTGAAATGTACAGCCCCCTTCCCTTATCCACACCCTTCCCAACTCTTCCCACACCCCTCATAATCGACAATTGTTTTCCTCACACAATCTACATACTCCCACTGTGGCCACCCAGCACCCATATCTTCATCACCCTTCAAAATATCCAATCCCTCTCTAACAAAAGTCAAAGTGCTCTGAGACACTATCCTGCATAAAAAGCACTATTATTTGGCAAATTCTGAAATTAAAACTGGCTGCAGATTTGAGGCTGAATTCAGCAATTAGTCAAATTCTGAACAACAACAACTTGCATTTATATAGCGCCTCTCATGCAGAGTAATGTCCCAGAGCGCTTGACAGTGGCGGAGCATGACCCCGAGTGGGGGAGGGGGAGGTGACCGTAGGCACGGTTGAAGAGGAAGGTCTTCAGATACGACTTGAAGATGGAGAAGGAAGAGGAAAGGCAGAGGGATAGAAGAAGAGTGTTCCAGAGTTTTGGGGCGTAGTGGCTGAAAGCGCGGCCTCCAATGGTGAAATGGAGGGCACGAAAGACGTACAGAAGGCTGGAACTAGTAGAGCAGGGACAGTGGATTGGGGAGTAAGCAAGTCGGAGATAAAGGAAGGTGCCAGGGCATGAAGGGATTTGAAAACAAGTGTGAGGATCCTGAAATCGATCTGTTTGGCGTTAGAGAGCCAGTGGAGCCTGGCTAGAACTGGTGTGATTGGGGGTACGGAGTTTAGTACTGGTAAGTATGCAGGCAGCGGAGTTTTGGATCAGTTGTATCCTGTGCATGGTAGAGCTGGGGAGACTGGCGCAGAAGGCATTTGAAAAGTCGAGTCGGGAGGTGACAAGCACATGGACGAGTGTTTCGACTGCGTCCAGGGTAAGGTACGGTCGGAGGTGGACAATGTGACAGAGGTGGCTCTAAGCAGTCCTGGTCAGGGACCGAATGTGGGGAAGGAAGGACAGCTGGGGGTCGAATCTGAGGCCGAGGTTGCGCTCTGGTTCAGTAAGTCTGTGGGAGAGCCCAGGGAGGTTGAGGAGGTCAGAGCTGCAGGATAGACGATGTTGATGGGAGCCAATGAGTATGGCTTCCGTCTTGTCAACATTTAGTTGTCGTTTTCTCTCATCCAGGCCCTGATATCCGCTAGACAAGCTGAGAGAACATCGGTGGATCTGGAGGAGGAGAAGTAGATTTGTGTAACATCCGCATTCATGTGGAAGTTTACCCTGTGTCTGTGGATGACATCGCCAAGAGGGAGCATAGATGAGGAAGGGGCCAAGGATGGAGCCCTGGGATACACCGCAGGTGACCGGGCGGGGGCTGGAGTAGAAACCATTTGAAAAGATAAAATGAGGCGGTATGTTAGGTAGGACTCGAACCAGGATTGTGCAGTCCCACTGAGGTGGATTAGAAAGGAGAGGCGGTCCATGAGGATAGCCTGGTCGACTGTTGAATGTGGCAGAGAGGTCCAAGAAGATGAGGAGGCAGAGGGAGCCCTGGTTACAGCGAGAGAGGGGGCACATTGTTTGTGCTATGGCATCTCTGTGCTATGGGCAGGGCGGAAACCAGACTGGAGGGGCTCGAGGAGGGAGTGGAGGGAGAGGTGTGAGCAAAGCTGGTTAGCGACAACGCATTCCAGAGCTTTGGCAAGGAAGCGCAGGTTGGTAATTTGTGAGGATGGAGGGGCCAAGGGTAGGTTTTTGGAGGAGAAGAGAAATGACGCTGGTTTTAAGGAGAGAGGAACAGAAACTGAGGAGACCGACTGATTGACTGTGTCGGCCAGCAGTGGAGAGGAGGGGGAGTTGGATGACCAGCAACTGGGTGGGGAGGGGGAAATACTGAGAAAATAGAGTAAAACTAGATTTGGGTGGGATTTCTATCTCAAGAGTCTTCAAGGTTTTAGTATGAGATGCAGCCTTGCAGTCCCTTCAGGTTACTTGGTCCTCTTCTTTTCCATATCCATATGTTCCCTCTGGACGATGTCATCTGCAGACGCGGGGAAAACTTCCATGAATGCGGATGACACACAAATTTACTTTGCCTCCTCTAGTACCAACTCCAGGTCTACCAATGTTCTATCAGCTTGTCTGGCAGACATCAGGGCCTGGATGAGTGGAAACTGGAGTCCTGTAGCTTAGTTGTTAGATGACTCATCTCTCAAGCAAGAGACCTGGTTTGATTCCTGGCAGGGCGAAACCTTGGTAAATTTCCTTACTCCACATGGCTGACAATAATCACTCAAGAAAAAAAAAATAATTTGGTCACTCAATTCACGATTGTTTGTGGGACACTGCTGTGCGTAATTGGCTGCTGCGTTTCGCCCACAAAATATACAGTCAATTCACTCTACAGTATATTCTGTGAAGCGCTTTGAGTCGTCTAGAAGACACAAAAAGCACTGTATCAAATGCAAGGATTATTATTTTATAAGAATTATAAACTTTCTGCAGCTGAATGTGGATAAGATGAAAGCCATACTCCTTGGCTTCCGTCAACGTCCTCACCCCTGCGGATCTAAACTCCTCAACCTCCCTGGCTCTCCCTCAGACTCAACGAACCAGTGCGCAATGTAGGCGTCTGGTGTGACCCTCAGCTGTACTTCCTTCCCCACATCCGGTCTCTGACCAGGACCACCTTCTTCCACCTCCCACATGTTGTCTGCCTCCGACCGTACCTTACCCCAAATGCAGCCGAAACCCTTTTGCATGCATTTGTCACCTCCCGCTTGGATTACTCAAACGCATTTTGAGATGTCTCGAAGACGTGATAAGGCTCTATATAAATACAAGGATTATTATTACTAGAGCAGCACAAATTAATAGCTTCTGTAGATCAGGGCAAAGTGAGGAACCTGGAGGCAGAAAGCAAGAAGCTTTGTGCTAGTGCTAAATCTACCAGAGCTGACAGTTGTGTTATCTCTACAGATATGTTTTTATTGCAATGGAGGCACTGGATCAGCTTCTGATGGCTTGTCATTCCCAAAGCATCAATCTCTTTGTTGAAAGCTTCCTTCAAATGGTCGCCAAACTGTTAGAATCTGGAGAGCCTGAGCTACAAATTCTTGGTTCCAATTCGGTAAGTAAGAAGAGCAAGTGCATTCTTTTAAGTTGCACATGGTTTATAGACTGGCCACTTGGTTGGGTACTTTCCCACTCACTGCTGAAAAATTATTGCAGAAATTGCTAAAATGTGATTTAGGCCATAATGAGAGAGTGCAGACTTGCAGCTCATTCCATTTTTAAAGTGGTTTGTATTTGTGAAATGTTTTACGCTCTATATCAGCAGTAATTATTACACACCTATGCAATATATATATATTAAAACTGTTCTATTATGTTGGATGCCAGTTCATTGTCTTTATGGATCAAATGTCACTACCTCCTATTACATTTATTAGGCTATATTCCTTTTCACCTTCAAGGTTTTCCATTCAAGGACAAAATGCGCAAAATAACTTTTTGGATTCCACAAGGAATGGTATTGTATTTTGAATGAAAGAAAGGAAGTGTATTCTTTGTTGAAGGTCACGTGGAATTTTAATCTAGTTGAAAACTTTCTCATGTGCGTGACCATGAAAATAATTTTGTGAGTTATTTTTGAAATCTTTTATTTTCTACTGGTGTATCAAGAGCTGGTTATAAATATTTCAGTCTGGCGTAAACAAGACCGTTTTAAACCTGCTTATTTCAGGAAAGATAAAGGGATAGGAGTGAGGATGTAGAGTGCAATCCGTCTTCTAAATGACAGGACAAAAGGTTAAAACTTTCACACTTGGGGTGAGAGGATTCTACTATCATTTAGAAGCAAGAATGCCTTTTTAAGACCATCAGGAAGCTTGATAAAATGCATTTTAAAAACTGAAAAGGCAGTATGTGTTATCTGATCTTAAAATTAAGTGTAGAAGAGCAAGTTAGGCAAACTAATTAAGCATTATCAGTATTAAAACATTACATGGGTACTGAATTTTTTGCAAAACTGCACCCTGCAATTAATTTTATTTACAACTAACGTATGAAGCTGTGAAACACAAGCAGTGCTATTTGGTTTTGCATTGTGTACTGCAAAAAAGGTACTAGGTGAATCAACTGCTCAATCAATTTATCCTCACATAACATTAGAGTGTTTTTAGAAAAACATGTAAATGCTGTTGTCTAGGTGAATGCAAGAATGCCATCTTTCTTCTACATATCTCTCGTTAAACCATCTTCGAGACCTACATTGAAAGTGGAATAATTTAGAAGGATAGAACCTAATTATTTCTACCAATAGATAAGTAATGAGCCTCGCACAAATCATAGACTTTATGAGCAGACGTTTATTGCCAGCCATCAATGCTACATGGGAGTTAGAGCTTCTGAGAGAGCATGTTGATTATCACCTAACCACTGCTGGTTCTCAGCTTTTGTACAGACTAAAGGTGTCACTCTAAAATTAATTACAATGGGCTTGTGCAAATTTCAAGCTAAATCATAGCCTTGCCAGCAAATGTTAATTAATGCTATTGAAACTGCTGTACAGATTTTCTTCCAAAGGGATCTGTGACATTCTTCTAATTCCAAACACAGTTTTGGAAGAAAATAATTAAAATATCATTGCATGTGTATGTGAGAATTTTGACTTAATTGCTGACGTTTCATAACTTCACATCAATAAGCAAGCACTGCAAGCTTTGGATCAGGAATGAACCTTTGTGACTGTTCTGTTAAATTTTGTGTTGCCACTTTGCCACGCTCTGAAATTGTAAGCCGGTAATGGTTAAGTGAAAATATTTAATTCTATAGCAAATGATGTTGAGCTTCTTTATAGCTATTTGATCCTTTCTTATTTAAGGTGGTTAAAAGCAACTTGCTCAAAAAGAATTTTCACAGCTGCATCATTTTGTACAGTAATTTTGTTAACTACATTTTGTTTTATCCAATATATAATATATAATTACATGGTCAATTAGTTGAATGTTTTTGATAAACTGTTAGTTATAGTTGCTGCAGAGCATTGTAAAACATGTTAAAAATTTTTCTACTCTCTGTTCTTGTGAATTCTTGGACTTTTTCCACTATAAAAGTAACTGTTCTAAACTCATGTACTAGTTATAAAAGTAGAAAAATAAATTAGTAGCTGAAGAGAAATACAATAAAACTTGTATAAGTCTTATCTTTATAAATCACTTAATTGCCTAAGTCATACATCCACTCAAGTCCCCATAAGTTTCCTATCAAAACTACTTAGATTTCTTTGCACAAGTTGTTTATCACCTCCTAACTCGTAACGCTGTTTCCCTATCCTCCTTTACTCCTGTACTTACCTGCTGCATTGAATCGCGGAAAACGTAGGTTTGATCCATCGACACTTGTGCAGAACTGCATTTCCTGCGATTCAATGCTATTCCAATACTTGCCGGTAAGTCCACATGCGGCAATAGGTCAAAACGCATTGAATCACGGTAAACGTAGTCTTCTTATGGCCCCGACTGATATGAATTATATGAGTTTAACTATATATTTTAAAATGTTTCAGGAGGACTCTTATGAGAACAGTATTGTCATTTTTATATTTTATTGATTGCCAAAATACAGTCATTACACTTCACAGTAAATCCTTTGAAACTCTTTTGAGATATATTCCCAGCATGAAAGGCACTATATCATATGCAAGGATTATTTCCCACTTCGAATTGTGGTGAACCTTCACACATCGAAGACTTGGTTCTTCCATTTCCATACAACTCACTGTTATTGCTCACGGCTGCGGAATTTCCACCTGCTTCTACACAGAGTCTAACATTGCAGGGAGATTTCCCATTCTTGTAAGGAGTAGTTTCCCCTTTATGTTTTTAGTCTATAATAGGTATATTGAACTAAAATAGTGTATTCTTTTGAATGTTTTTTGTTGACAAAGTATTTTTCAAGTCAACTCTGTTGTATTTCTGAGATGAGCAATTGTTGCCCTACTCGCTTTGATTTCTGCTCATTTTACTTCGTCTGACCTCCTTCGATAATTTGTATGCATCAGTCTGGGCATACAAACTATTTTGTTTGGTGTGTTGCATTATATTGGATTGACTCCAGGCTTTCAACCACCTTGCCTTTGTTCTCTGGAATTGTCTATAAATCCCTCAGCCTTGCACCCTCCATCTACATTTCTTTAAAAACCTGATAGCACCTTCGCTCATCTCTCTTTTTGTCTCCCCACCACCTCCTTTCAATCCCTTTATCTCCCACCCTGTTTGGGCTCCTATTTCATCTCTGTAAAGTGCTTTCTGGTGTTTTTCTCTGTGGCAGATGCTCTATAAGTGAAAGTTGTTTATTTAAACGTATTATTTAAGAGCTCCAAGATGCCGACTAGCGGTCTTGTTGTTTACGCCAACCCTTAAAACAAAGTATTTGCTTTTTACCCTAGTTTGTCAAGTTTGCCAACATTGAAGAAGATACTGCTTCATATCATAGGCGCTATGACTTCTTTGTATCTCGATTTAGTGCAATGTGCCACTCTTGCATTGATGATATGGAAACCAGAACCAAGTGAGTACTTGCAGCATGTTAATTTCCATGTATTATTTTGTGTGGCATTGTAACGATGACAAATGACTGTTCGAAAAATATAAACTTTCCGCAGTGCTGCTTGTGTCGGTCCTTCTTAGTGTAGGTTGCACACAGTGATGTAGGTATCTAACCCTGTCAGATTTTCTGATTCAATTTAGTTTTGATCAGATAACACCTTGAAAACAACTGACAACAAGAGCAGCAATTTCTGGATTTTTATTTCTATATAAAAAAAACTCTCATTTAAATTGTGGTAACAGGCAAGAGTGATTTAAATGTGATAATTAATACAAAAATGCATTTCTGATGACGCAAGTTGTGGTTAGTGGCAAAAACATTTCTATTTTAGTACACTGAAGCGTACGTTTAATATGTGTATAGTTTGCCCTGAAAGCTGTAGGTGTTTAATTTGCAGCTGGATGGCCATCCACTTGCATAAGTGGAATTTATCTGCATTGTAAACTAATAATTTCCAGCTTGTTCTTACTTACCTATTACTCTAATGATGAATGCATTTCTTTCCTAATCTTTAAAAAAAAGCAGAAACCTACTTAAAAATTTGTGAGTGGTACATGGATAGTTTTTTTTATAGATCTGAAAACAATTCAGAATATTTTGCCATAGCTGACTTCTACAATAATGTAATAATGATCCTTGCATTTGATATAGCTCCTTAACACATCTTCGAGACGTCTCAAAGCACTTCACAGAATATACTGTAAAGCGAATCGGCTGTATATTTTGTGGGCGAAACGCGCCAGCCAATTGCGCACAGCACCGTCCCACAAACAGTCATGGATTGAGTAACCAAATTATTATTTTTATTTTTTATGAAAGGCTTTTATGATGACACAATCTCCTGATGTGAAAGGCACTATACAAATGTTATTTTGCATTGTGTTACCCCCGGAAAAGCGATGCACCAATCGATTAATAATCTGCTTACTGCCAGGAAAACAGAGGCATGTAAAGTAAGGAAACTTGCCACTAAATTCATCTAAATTTATTCTATTTATGTAACATTAGGAGCATACTGAATTTGACAAATTCTTAACTACAACCATAACTCTGAAGTCAGTTTTATATACGTGTTCTTTCAAGAACAAAACAAAAAATGTAGGATCCCTTACTGAGCCTCTGCACTGACAGCTACTGGTTTTAGGATGGGAGGCCTGCGTTTTCTTTTCTGGTCAGCTTCTCGGTCAAGGGATGGCTTGAAACCTCTGATCAAAGATTGACTAGCAATGCACCACTCACAATCGGCATCTGTCAACTTTCAGGATCTTCATCTTTATCCCCATTTTTAAATCAAATTTGGTATTGGATCCTATTTGGCCAGAGACTGGTTTGTGTCCCAGTTTAGACCCCATGCAGTCAAAGTACTCTGGGGGTAGAGCTCAGAAGGGAGATCGCCCTGAGACTTTACTTTCATATGAATAAAAAGATGAGTGGGGTCCAAGAAGTATTAAAATTAGGACGGCATTAGCTCTAATTCAACTTATGGAAAACCTCAAGACAATGATCTCAGCAAACTGCTGTCTCAGTGTATATGAAATGGTCAGTGCCTCGGATGTGGAGGTGTCTGTGAGACAAGCAGTGGATATGTGATTGAGGAGACCAGTCACCTCGAGTGAAAGATACTGAAGATAAATAGAGAAGCAGCTGGGAAAGGGTGACAAGGGAGCAGGCTCCAAACTGTTAGCAGAAGAATCGGGAGAGAGATCATGAGGAATTTCAATGAATATGTAACAGGAAGTTGATTTCTGCACAAAGGGCAGTACCATTGTAATTTTAGAAGAATAGCAATATTACCATCTTCTAGTGTGCATCGAATTTATTTCCTGTTTTTGTTCTGGAGATTAGAAACAAAAGGAGACTAGATATTAACTAATTTAGTATCTTCAGTGGAGTACCCCAGGCTTTTGAGCTAGAGGGCTTCTTTATACACATACTCGGCCTTGGGTATAGAGGGTGTGGTCTCTAAAATTTCTGATACCAAATTTGGAAGCATATTAAACCAAGGCGGAATTTAAAAAAAATGGAAGATATAGATAGGAGAAGCAAATTTAATTAAATACGAATTACAGAGAGACCCTGTTGTAACATGGTGGTTTCAATCCATGAACTCAGAACTTTTGCGTTAAAACTTAAGTGCATAAAGCCAGAGTTATCGGGTTTGCCACTGACAACATTTCCTGCATGAAAGGCTATCATTTGATTGACATTAGCTGCCATTAGCTTTTTTTCTGTTTGGGATTGCTGAGATTGCTGGTCATTGCTGATTTTGCCACTTCCGGATCAGGAATTCGGATTTATAGGGATCCTATTCATCTCTTTTAAATAACTCTAGTGTAAAAAAAATCTTTGATTTCATGGCTCCAAAATGGTAATTCAGTTTGCCTGCTTGTTACTGCAGGCTACAATATTGTCCCGGTGAGAGTTTCTCCCTTTAGTTTTAGAAATCCTGGTGTATTTCTTCATCTGTTTTCTGGTCATTGTCACAAACTTGCCTCTCTATAATCCTCAGAAAATGACAGGATAAAGGCTGTTTGGTTCAGCCACCCACAAGTTTTTGCAATTTGTCGCTTTGAGCCAAAAATAACCTTTGATACCAGCTACTGATTTACTGCATTGTAAATTGAATAACTGTAGGAATTACTCCAGTACATTTTTATATAGGGTGTTTGAATGTGAAATGTCTTTACCAAAAATAGCCGATGAATTGGGAGTCCATTTAAACAATAATTGAATACAGGTTTAAGGAAAATTGTTGAAAATAATGAGGAAAGAGTTGAGGCCATTGGAGTACAGTAAATGGGTCCATTGGGAAAACTAGCACCAGCACAGCTGTAATGGGTCTTCCTCTGTGCTGTAAACTCATCACATGATATGGATAGATCTTTTACTCTAACCATTGTAAACTTCTCTGTGGTGGTCTGCGCTCACCCCGAATAACCAACTCATAAACAATAGAAATCCTATGCAGCAAGTAGACAACTGGTGTAAAGGGCTATGTGTACAAAGTACTTTTCAAATTAGGTTGCAAATTCTGTTTAGAAACTTTTCAGATACATCTGTACTGCCAGAAAACCTTTGAGAGACCCTTCAGACAAATATCTAGAATAATATCCAGAATCATGAACTGATGCAACAGGTCACAATGGATTGCTGTGATACGGGGATTTGGTGTATAGCTCAAAGGAAATTGCTTTGTGTGCATGCCTTTCCTGGGATATCATATTTTCAGATCTATTTGTAATCTAAGCTCTTTTAAATGGACAAGAGGTTATGGTGGAAAGAAAGCATTAAAGTATTAGAAGAATTTAAAAGACAATTCTAGGCATGACCTGTATCCAGCCTTCTGATTTCCAAATATGGCTCAGTGAGTGTCGTTTTATGACAAGTAGAGCTGTTTTTGTGTGAGGGATATTTTTGTATATGTATTTGAAAGAGGATCCAGCAAAGTATGAAATAACTCTCGAAGAGGTCCTTCTCTGGATTTGGACAGAGTTTATTAAGAGGGCTAAGCTTCCTCATAAATAGTGTAAAATCCTGGATATTGGGAACATAACAACAACAAAATTACATTATATTGCGCCTTTCACATCAGAAGAATGTTCTAAGGCTCCAAGGAATGCCCTTTTATAGAGACCTGAAATCTGACATTTCTTGTGAACTTAGCCATAAAACACGGGTTGTGTGAAATTTTTAAGGTTATGAAGAATGTTGAAAATGGCTGTCCAGTTGATGTGGCAGCTGGATTTCCACTTTGTTTTTAAGAACCACAAAAAAGACGAGATCAAGAGAGATAAATTTTGCATTATGTTTATATATGACACTGTTAGAAACAGAAATGTTCATCTTGACAGCTTTAGCAAGTTCAGATCCTCCAGCTGCAGCTCTTGGGAACCTGGCCAGATTCTTTTACACAACTGTAATTTGCTTTCTGCTCGTAAGTAAAAATGTTTGGGGGTATTTTGGTCCACATTTCAACCCATCATTCCACCAAACATTACAGTGAAATTATGGTGCTAGTTTTGATTTCACTATAAAGTTATATACAATAGAATTTACATTTATATAGCACTTGTTGGGAGGAAATCTCAAAATACTTAGCACAGCTGGATGGGTATCCAGCTGGAAGGAGTTGGAGAGTATGACGGGTGGGGTGGAGGGGGCGAAGAATGACGAAGTTGGAAGGACTTTGGGATGGAGTTCCAGAGAATGGGGACAAAGGTTGAAAGCTCGGCTACCGATGGTGGGGAAGATAGGAGCAGGAGACATGGAGAAGGCTGAGCCAGCAAAGGGAGCGACTGGGTCAGTCAAGCTGAAGCATGTATTTAATGTTTATTTTTAGGAAGATATTTAATTGTCAATAATAAATTACAAGGTTTGCTAATTTGTCTGAAATTTTAAATCGAACAGATAGATGATCAATAATGGTACCAAAATTACTCATTCTATTTTATATTTATAATAATAGTAATAATAATAATCCTTGCATTTGATATAGCACTTTTCACTTCGGGAGGACGTCCCAAAGCGCTTCACAGAACATATTGTAAAGTGAATTGACTGTATATTTGTGGGCGAACGCGGCAGCCAATTGCGGACAGCAATGTCCCACAAACAGTCGTAGATTGAAAATGACCAATTTATTATTGTTTTTGGAGAGATTATTATTAGGCGTGTGGAGTAAGGAAACTTGTCCATGGTTTTGCCCTGCCTTTTCGTTTGCATGAAAAGGTAGCCTCGTTTCCTGCTCCTCATCTAGGTGCATGGGTGAGAAAGCAGGAATAAAACTGCCAGAATACACAACTTTTGGTTCTCAGCCATGCCAGGTTATCTGGTTCGCTTTCTCCTTAAATCTGCCTTTTGTAAATACGCAGTCGAAAATTTATTCCCATTATGAATTTTGCCCATGTTACTTTTTCAAAAGCAAACGTCATGTCTCAATTTATTATCTGAACAGTCATTTTACCAAATAATAGATAGCACTAAACTAATGTGTGAGAACCAGCTGTATGCCTAGTGAGTGCTGTGGACACATTTCCTAAGAAGTATACCCAGAAGCAGCATCTGAACTTACTTGAGCTGCCAAACAAAAGCAGCTTTCTTTTTGACAGCACCATGCAACTGAAAATGTCAGAGGTATTCATGTATCATTAATTAATAATGTAGCCTTTTACTCATTTTGACAGACTCATTATTTGAAAACCAGCAATAAAAATATTTATAAACCTTTACTTTGAAGCCCTGGCATATTCTTATACTGGTGCCTTAAGGTGCAACAACTTAGTGATTAAATCTGTAAACTGAATCCTTTCTTTATGGCCTACTAATATGGTCATGTGGAATTAATACACCTTAGAGCCCAAGAACTGTTGTTATTCGCGTGTTTAGTTAGTTATATTTAGTTTAATTATATTTTAAACTACTTAGCTACAGAAGATCTTAACCCAATTGTGAATCACATTAAGAAATTTCTTATGTATCAATTTACTTTTTTTTCCAAGTTGTGAGCTTTTTAGGTTTACAATTTTTAATCCAAAGAACCAGTGTGTACATATGAGCCCAACAATTTGTTTATGATTATGTTCTACAATTTGTGTAATGGACATTAAATGCAATTCCAGCCATGATCAGAATAAAAAATAAAAGCTACCCCCAGAATAATTCATTGTGTTCTAAACAAAGGCTATGGAGAAAATGTGAAAATATTTGTATAAATCTCATATAAAATAGTTACAACATAGTTGTGACTCTTTTATATGTGTTTTGTTCTGAACTGTTTTTCATTTACCCTTGAAATGATGGAGTTGGCCACTGATTTTATTGAATATCTTATTTTAATCTTCTCTCACTGGTGAACCTTCATAGTGTTTTAGAAAGTCATTTGCTCAAATGACACATTGATTGAATTTGGCTCAAAATAATGTAGCTTTTTTTTCTCATAATCTTACAAAGGTAATAAAAATCTGTTTTTATCTACCATTTTGCTCAAGTTGTGTGAACTGAAGTTTCGACAAAAATCTGTAGTTTAGTTGAGTTCTAGCTGATCTTATCTAACTAGTCTTATCCAGTTATTTATTATTTTGACGTGTCCAAAGGAAGAAAAACAATGTGCGCTTTTCTAATCGCATACAGTTACTTTACATAAGTTAACCAAACTGAATCAACCCTGTCTTGCCACAGTGTATTTTGGTGTTAGTACAAACTTCCCTCAACTGTTAGATACTTATGAGGAACATCCTTTTTTCAACACTAATTTGTATATTTTCAAAGCTGAGCTAAGTGGTGTGTGGATGACTGTAAATTTAATTCTCTGTCATCCCTTATTGAAATTGTACTTTCAGTAACTTGGCACATTTCTAAAGTGGCTTAAAAAACTGTTCACACTTTAAGGCTGTTGATGATGCTAAGTTAACCATTTGAGGGCTGCAGCTACTTAAAAATCTTATGTTGTGAGCTGTGGAGTCTTGTAGGGGTGCATGTTTTCTTTGTCCTGCTATATAATAATTATAATAATAATAATTCTTGCATTTGATATAGCGCTTTATCATGTCTTTGAGATGTCTCAAAGCACTTAACGGAATATACTGTAAAGTGAATTGACACTATATTGTGTATTATAAGTCTGCAAGCTTCAGATCACAGTTTTGATGAGATTGAAGGAAAGCTGTATTGCAAAATCTGAAGTGGGTAAAGGAATGTAAGAAGTAACTATTTTTTTCATTCCAGGATCAGGATTGCTGGAATCAAAGGCATTCAGGGAGTTGTACGGAAGACGGTCAATGATGAACTGCAAACTATAATCTGGGAGCCTCAGCACATGGATAAAATTGTTCCTTCACTTCTCTTCAACATGCAAAAGACTGAGGAGAGTGACAGGTCAGAGTGTCTGATCGAGGCAGATAGAGCAGAGAACTTTTCTTTAACAATTTGCAACATTAACTGCTTGAGCCCTAAGTTCTTTTGTTGGCTTTTACACATCTTGTCATTGAAATTGTGCTATTGTGAACCACACCTAATTTAATGCTAAGATCAAAACGGCAGAATCAACAACAGCAACAATTTACATTTAGATAGCAACTTTCATGTCAGGAGCAAAGCTTAATGAGTTGCAAACTGGTAATGGGAGGTGGGGGGAGGAACTATTGACATTTTTTCTCGAATCAAAAACATGGAAGTGATCCAGAGAACATTCTAAAGTTCAACACTTTAAAATGTTTTGATTCTTATCGGCTCAATTTATGCAGTAATCATGCTGATCTAACTCCATGAAGTGAGCACATACCTCTTCTGTTAGTTCAGATCATGTTCCTTCAACTTTAGTTGTTTATTCAGTTGCTCTTTGATCTTAAGCTGAAATGCTGTACTCTGTCCAGCGCCTTGGGACGTCCTCCTGACGTGAAAGGCGCTAAAGAAATGTAATCTTGTTGTTGTTGTTGTTAAGCTAATCTGTGATCTGAGTTAAGTTCATGAAAGTCATGTCAAACTGACACAAACAATGCAGTGTAACCACAGCATTAGATCAAATGTTAGTTCATTTAATTTTTATTTTGGCAATCAAGTGCCTTCTTGTTTGGTGCTGTCCAGCTATTTCAATAAATGCATAGTAAATAAAAACTAACATTAGAAATTTGAGCAGGACAATAACAAATTCCCTTTGTATTGGACTTTTCACTTTGAAAATATGTCACAAGCTGCTGGACAGTTGAGGTTTTGCACTTAGGCTGGAGGTTGGATTTCGGGAGGGATGGGGGAGGAGGGGAAGATCACCGAAGGCGCAGTGAAAGAGGAAATCGTTGGGACAGACCTTGAAGAAGGTGAGGAAAGGGGGGAGGCAAAGGGACTGAGATGGGAGATAGGTAGTGAAAATGGTTGCAAACATTACTTTGGTGCACGACCAATAAGGTTGTAACTTTAGAAGTGTACCAGGCCAGATCCTAACTGAGGCTGGAGATATCCAGGGTGTTAAGTGTTCAACAACAAGAACAACTTTCATTTATATTGTGCCCTTTACCTGGGGTAGCATCTTGAAGCCCTGAATAATGGAGTAGTTTGACACCACGGCGGTTGGAGAGGTAGGGAGATACTATTACATGAAGTGATTTGTAGGTGAGTGTGAGGATCTTGCAATTGATTCATCTTACGTCAAGGAACCAATAGAGTCTGGCAAGGACTGGAGTGATGAGGTGCAGAGTTTGGCACTGGTTAGAGAACAGAGATGCTGGAACATAGCCAACTGTCTGAGTCCAACCATATTGGAGAGCATTGATTAGGTGGGAAGGTTTCAAGGTGATGATCAGTTGAGTCAGCAGCTTCCATAACTTGCAAAGAGGGTAGATGTGGTGAGGTATCATCAGCATAGGCTCAAAGGGTTAAATAATATGCATCTATGTTGTTATTTCTATGAGGTGTAAGGACGATAAGGACAGGTATAGTGCGAAGCTTAGGTGAAAGCCTTACCTTAGGAATATGATGGCCATTAGCAAATGATGATCTCCAGACTTGATTTTTCCAGTTCCCTGCTCGCTTGCCTTTTGAGCTCCTTCCCCACAAACTCATATCATACAGAACTCTGCAGCCTATATTTTCTCACACTCTAAGCTCAGGGACCCAGTCAACCCAACTTTGCCAATTCTACTGGCTCCTGTCCCCTGGCAAATCAATTTTAAGATCTTCGTCCTTATTTTCATTTGTCTCCCTAGCATTACACCACCCTATCTTTGCGGTCTCCTGTGACTTTATTCTCCCGGTCACTCCATCTGCTCCACTAACTCCAGCTTGCTTCATGTCCCTCTGCTCTGCCTCATCAGCCACTATGCCCTCTCCCTCTGGAACTCTTTCTGAAATTCCTCAAACTTGCCTCTTCTCCCTCTTTAACATTGCTTTTGGCCACCTTCCCAGCTTGGGCTCCCACTTTGTCCTTGTAGAAAGCTTTGAGACATTCTCTCAACTTGAGAGATGTTATATAAGTGTAAAGTGTTGGTTTTTGAGTGATTTCCTGTCCTTGCCCTTTTCGTTGTGGTTTCTGGCTAAATGCGTATTTAATGAGAAGGGATTTGAAAGATTTAGCAATTTTTTTTAAAAACTAAAAAGCTTTTAATGATTGTGCCTCTGGATGTTGGACTGATATGAAGACATCATACTTGGCCGTGCTTAGTTTCTAGAGCTAAAAATAACACTGGCACTGTGTCTAATGAAGTGAAGATACTTAGAGAGATGACTACCCCTAATTTTCTTCACCCTATCACCCACATCTAGTCGCTTAAGTAGTTATTTGGGTAAAGTTTATTAATTTTGATTCCACTAATAATTGAGCATCATCAGATAATCATTGGGAGGGGGACTTTTTTTTAACAATGCTGTATATTATTTCAGGTGTCAGTCTGAGCTCAGAGTCAGAATATTATGGATTCAAGCCCCACATTGAACTAATATAATTCAGGCTGACAGTTTTGCATTATCGCGGGTGTGCTTTGCTGGAGGTGTCTTCCTTTGGATGAGATATTAAACTGAGGTCCTGTCTGTTTGTTTGGGTAGATGTTAAAGATCCAATGGCACTATTTGAAAAGAGAAGGGAGTTTCTCCTGGTATCCTAATAATAATCCCTCCAAAAACAAAAAAATAAATAAATTGGTCATTTTCAATCCATGACTGGTTGTGGGATGCTGCTGTGCGCAATTGGCTGCCGCGTTTCACCCACAAATATACGGTCAATTCACTTTGCAATCTATTCTGTGAAGCGCTTTGAGACATCGAGAAGACGTAAAAAGCGCGATATCAAAACGCAAGGATTATTATATTATTTATTATTATTATATCCTGTCCATCAATCCACCAAACAAGATTATGATTTGTGGCACATTTCTGTACAAAAATTGACTTCCGTGTTTGCCTATAAATACACAGTCACTCCACTTTACAGTATATCCTGCAAAGCGCTTTGATAGTTCTCCTGATGTGAAAGGCGTTCTATCAAACACTAGAATTAATAATATTATTTTCTATATTTAATTGGAATGAGTGTTCTGTCATCTTAAAAATTCTTACTCATAATCTTTGTATTTGATGTAGTGGCTTATCACATTGTTGCAACATCTCAAAGCACCAAATGATTTTACTGTAAACTAGTGATTACTGTAGATCAAGGTAGCTGTTGAAAAACCTCTGTTGTAGTAATAATGATAATAATGCTTGCATTTGATTTAGTGCTTTATCACGTCTTCAAGACTTTCAAAGCGCTTCACAGAATACACTAAAGACTGAGGACATCTGTTAATTTGTTGGCCATGTGACCTATCTCAGTAAGAAAACTGATTTTTACATTAACATGTGCCTCATTCTTTTGCTTTCAGTAAGAACGATCCCCCTTCAACATCGAGAAGTGCTGATAAAGATGAGAACCCTGCAGCACTTGCAGAGAGTTGTTTCCGGGAGCTGCTGGGACGTGCAGCATATGGGAACATGAATAACGCTGTCCGACCTGTGCTGGTGTAAGTCAAAGTCAATTTACAAATCAATCTGGGTGTGTTTTATATTTAATCTAGTAAGATAAATGATTTAAATGGCAAGAGGGAATGTTGCTTAAAGCGTTGGAGAAGTAAGCTTCAGTTTTATCTTTTTTTAAAAAAGTAAATTTATAGTTCAGTAGACCAGATGCTGCATTTTTCTTTGGATGGGGTCCTGTCTGGGTGTTCTTCTGATGGGCATTAAAGATGCCATGGCACTGTAAGGAGAGAAGGGTAACCAGATCAAACTTTGCTGATGCAGCAGAGAATTGATTTGCAATGGTGACATCTTTTCTTGTGAATCCTAAATAATTTAATTGACTTGAGTTTCTTGACTTAAGGCTTAACCTTTTGATCTCTGTAGATTCTAACATGTACCTGTGAATGTTATATTCCATGCTTATAGTAGGAAGTCACATTATTCCATCAGATCTTCCATATCAATGATACAAATTTTAGGGAGGAGGCAGGACAAAGTGGCTATTCGCTGGGAGTTGAACAGAAATATTATTCAAGCAATTTAAGATCTGAATGATAAATCTTTACCAGAAAAATAAGCTGTGGGTAGCTAGTTGACCAGAAGTAAACATATGAGCAGTTTGACTGAAAAAATCTGTCAAGAAGTAGAATGAGCTTGGCCAGATTGTTTGAAATTTCCTCTGTGGTGGGGTTTTGCTCCTTTTAAAATAGGGGAAAACATATTTGGAAACTAGTATGACACACAAAGTATGTATGTAGTAAGGATGGAAGAGGTAATTGTGGTTGAGTACCAAAAAATCACTGCCAGCTACAATTGCTAACCTTAAAAAGCCCTAAGGAAAGATGTTTCCAGTGTAACAACAACAACAAGATTACATTTGTATAGCGCCTTTCACGTCGGGAGCACGTCCCAAAGCGCTGGACAGAGTGCAGCATTTCAGATATTTGTAATATTTGGAACTGTGCTTTATTCTGCTAAATAGTGTGTAATTTAATTGCAACCTTTGAATTTCAGTGACATTTGAGCAAGAAAGATAGATTTTTTTCCTTTCATTGATCTGTCTTTTTTGTTTTTACTTTCAACCTTTAACTTTAATTTTCTGAACATACCCTTTCAGAGATGGCAGTAATTGCACTGCAGATATGAGCTTGCCTTTTTTTTTGAAAGGCTTACTAAGTTATGAAATTCAAAGAACGGGTCTCAGAGCATATGATAAAACTACAACTAATTAAACATGTACCAGAAGTGCAGTTTATCACTCCCCTCACTGTGTTGACAGAAAAGCAATAAACCTGGCAATTTACGATTTGGAAAATAGGCTGAACTCTTGTAAAAAGCAACATTGTGATAAACACTGAATTGACAAAAGCATGAAGAGCTGAATGTCAGCAGATTGGATGATGGGTAGTAGACTTAGCAGCTGAAGACAATGATAGATTGATTTTAACTGTTATTTATAAGGAGTTTAATTTTTTCTGAATTTAGGTGAGACTGTCTGAAATAAGTGACTTGCACATGGACTCATTATCTGTTTGGCATAAGACACAAATGCTGAATAAAATGCTATTATATACAGAGGTTGCTGCCTTTCTGTTTGAGAGCTCTTACTTTGCCACTTCTAGGATACTTTTTATTATAAATGAATATATTTAATGAAACCAATTTTAACAGCCAATTCACTGTAAATTCACAGGTTGATTTAATAGAATGTGAATTGGAGCCTTCTTTGTGTAAGATTAATAGGTGTTTTTACTTTACATCTAGCTGTTGGGTGACATAAATGACTCCTTTATATATCGTAGAATCCTGTTAGGAAGTAGCTGCTCTTTATATGGAATATGTTTGTCAATTTGCGGAAGATTCTAATGATAAGTTGTGACATTTTCCAACATCTATTGTAAAGAATCTTATTTTGGGTTACTTTTACATGAGACAAAGGTTAAAAATAAATTACTAGATCCCTCCTCTTGTAGAATTGTAACTTTTTTGTTCGTCCCAACCGGTGTCTTACAAACAGACAATACACCGTGGATATATCCAAAGTAAGATTTAATTGCAATTAAAAGAGCTGATTCAAAAACAGTCAAAAGTCTCCAAGTAGAGCACCTGACAGTCCAAAAAATGAGCTGCTGATGGTCAGTTAAAGCAGCCTTTTTATCCCCAAAAAGTGCTCAAGGTCGTAACACATCCAAAGGCAATTAAAAAAATATTATCAATCGTGTGGCTCCAACAACTATTTGAATGGTGACGTCAATCAATCCATATCTCTTAACAAGGTTAAATGTCGTCTACTAATTAGTCTCTATTCATGCTGATTATTATTCTTTTAAGAGTCAAGAAAATATAATTGGCATAGAGTATGTACCTGATTAATGCCGTTGTCTAAAGTACACAAGATATATTCTAAAGCTATCTAACAAGAATGTAACCTTTAAATTTATAACACAGAGTAAGAAATAATGAAGGAAGGGGGCCTAGGTTAGGGGATGATTCAGGGACGTTTGAGGCATAAGCTTATCTCCAGATGGTGTTTGTATCAGACAATGTCTTATTCATTTCAAGGTTTGCAGAAGTTACTGCTTCCCTGCTTCTGTGAAATGCCCAGATAAGGATGCAGCTGACATTGCCAAGTCTGCGTTTCCCAGGACTTGCTTTTTGTTCATCTAATAGTTGCTTAAAAGGTATAAAATTATTCCTAGTAATAAAAGATTTTTTCTACAATCTCACACTCGCTATACAGCAACTCATCTAATATTCACATTAGTAGATCAATAAACTGCTGTTAATTAAATCTCACATCTTTTTCATCTTTTGTTGTCAAGTTGATCGTGCCTGAGCCAGGACAGTGCAGTACTAGCTTCTACCATTTTCACATTAACTAGATGGGGTGTGGGATGGGAATGGATCTTGCATTGAGAAAACCTCTGTATTCTCCAATCTGCAACATTTTATTATGATTTTCTGCTACTTAAAGTTCTTAAGTTATTCTCTTTTGGAGGAGTGGATTTAAAACTGCTATTATGAATATTCACTAATAATACAATTTGTCTAAGGCCTCTTTCTCTTTCTCTCGTTTCAACATGTAACACATTCTGTAATTCACTCTGATATCTGGCAGAGATCTGAATTTCACAATGTAAATTTCATCCTTCCTATCTCCCCACTGGCTTGAGCACCCACTGCGGTTTGTAAAACACTTTTCGAGTTGCTCCCCTTACATGAAATACACCACATAAGTGCCAATTATCGATTTAAGAAATTGCAGATAGAAACTTGCATCTTGTGATTCTGTAGAGACCATCAGGAAGCTGTATTGTCTTGAAAATTGGGTAAAGGTACTGCCTGGTGCTTTAATAGGCCACGTAGAATGCAAATGTCCCAGTTTCAAACCTTGTCCTGCACTGAGTTAGCAGCCAGCATCTTGCTACGGGGTCTTTTCATTTAATTGGAGGTTAAGGAGCTAGAATCAACCACAACAACAAATTACACTTGTATAGTATCTTTCTTGTCGGGAGGAGGTCCCAAAGCGCACAAACAGTCAAGGATATGCACCGAATCAATCAGTGTTCCTACTCCAAATTGCTATTACTGAAGGTGTGCTTGCGTGAACAGGATCTGGCTTGGCTGCAATGCAAACTGCACTGCTGTTGTTAATTATACAAAAAATATATATTTTGTTGATTCACATATGAAGAATATCTGCTTAGTAAGGATGGCATCTAAGGCCATGTACCCAAGTACACCTTCAAATTCAACACCTTCAGGTGTGAAGAGGAGAAAAAAATAATTTTAATCAGGAAATCTGAGCAAACCTGTTGACATTTAAAATCTCAGGAGCTTCTTCAAATTTAAGGCATTGAAGCAACGTCGGTTGGAACTACTGCTTTAATCTTAAGGATGTTTGTTCATGTTGCGTCAAATGTAAACCCAGATGAAAGAGCTTTCTTAGTACATCCTGCACATCCTATTACAGTTCAAGCTGTGCTATGAAGTGCTAATTTATTTTATTTATAACAGGCACTGTATTTAATGAAAAAATAGCCATTATAGAATCAAACAGTTGGCACCTTTTCATAGTTAAATTTGTGGAAATGTATTGTGGTTTCATGACTTATTCAGTTGATTGTAACCTATTGGCAGTCTACTTGAATTGTAAACATACTTACAAAGATGTCCGTTTTATGTACATTTTGTTGAATGTCATTTTTAAAATGGGCCATTTTATAAATGAATGTAGCATTTTGTTTCTGAAAGATACTGATAAAGGTTTTTTGTTTAAAATGAATGGTGCTTGTTGGCATGCTTACGTTTAGTAAAGCTCATTGATGATATTTTTACGCTTGTATTTAAATACAAGTGGAATAGACAACTAAACTTATCTGCTTATTCTGTATTTACCATATTGAATATTGTATCCACAAATAATTGTTGATAAGTTTATGATTTTCTTAAATGTGGCAAGTGTTGAAGGGATGATCAAAATGTTGTAGTGCTTGGAAATAAACTAACATTGCTGAATATTAGCACTGAAATTAGGTGCAGATTCTTAGGAGTCCAACTTCAATGAATTGGTGTTCAATGCATCAGATTAATTGTATATTTTAGCTACAGTATAACAAAGTCCTCTGGATCCAATAGCTCAGAAGCCACTTTATAAATGAAGCATGAATAAATAGTTGCCTTCCGGTTTGTCAAGTAACCATGGTATCACTTCTGGTTTGTATTCACAGAAAGCATTGCTAACATTATTTCCCTGTTGTGCATGCTATGTGCAAAAAGTACCATTGATGTCACTTCCTTCGTGGAATGACTTTAGAAGCACTTCTTGCACACATGCACAGCATGTAGTAACATCAGTGACTGTTCCTCCATATATAATGTGCATTCACAGTGCACAGGAGGCAATATCAGTCACTCTTTCTGCGTAAGTCCACAATGTTCATTACTTACAATGTTCGTTATTCCAGCGCTTTGGGATGTCCTCCCAACGTGAACGGCGCTATAC